CCCATTCTTAGTTTCCGGCTGTGCTAGGCGAGAGCAGACCATAACAATCACCTTTTCCTCGTGGCCTTTCAGGCCTGAAACATCTCCGCAAAGCTGTGTGTTTCTCCGCTGAGAAAGGCGAGGTTCCTCCTGAAGTCCTTTCTGTGCCTCCCCCCACTGAGGGCCCGACTCAGTCATCCCCGTGGAGTTCTGGGCCGTGGTTGTGTCCCCTCTGGGGCTGGGTGGGCCTTTCCCTGGTCCCCGTTCCTCCCCCTCCCCCCAGGCTTCCTCCTGGGGGGCGCCCTCCTCAGACCCCCCACCTCCCCGTATTGCTGCTGGTCTCCACTGATAGGGGCATCGGATGCTCTCTTTTCTTTCAAAAATTTGGTTTACACCTCGTCCTATTGCTCAGGGACAGAGATTCCGCCCAACCACCACAGGTCACGCAAGGTCCTCACCTCGGCCACGGGAATCGGAGTATTCTGAGGACAGAGGCTGCAGACAGGGCGGGCGGGCGGGCGCAGAGCCTCCTCCTGTGGCTGCGCCCTGTCGCCGTCCGACACGAGGGCAGGTCAGCACAGCCAGGCTTGCTGGCCTCGGGGCTGGAAGGCACTCAGAGGTTCTGCATGTTGGCTGAAACACGTGAGTCAGCGCAGGAGGCAGCAGCACCTGAGCAGTGGCCTCTGGGTCACACCCAGACCCACGTGAGCACTTCTTGGCGAACAGCGCGACGCTCTCCTCTCTGCCTGCCCATTCTGCGACGGAGTCAGCATCTGATTCTTTTTTTTAAAAAAATTTTTTATTGATTAAGATATTACATATGTGTCCTTATCCCCTCATTACCCCGCTCCCCCACCACTCATGCCCGGCACCCCCCTGTTGTCCATGTCCATTGGTTAGGCCTATATGCATGCATACAAGTCCTTTGGTTGATCTCTTCCCCTCACCCCCACCCTCCCCTACTTTCCCTCTGAGGTTTGATGGTCTGATTGATGCTTCTCTGTCTCTGGATCTGTTTTTGTTCATCGGTTTATGTTGTTCATTATATTCCACAAATGAGTGAGATCATGTGATATTTATCTTTCTCTGACTGGCTTATTTCACTTAGCATAATGCTCTCCAGCTCCATCCATGCTGTTGCAAATGGTAAGAACTTTTACCTGCATCAGGGACACGCGAGCTGGGTTCCCGTTCACATCTCAGAGTGGACGTTGTCACAGCCCAGAGTTCTGATGGTTCAGTTACCACAGGGTCAGGGTGATCGAGTCTGATTTTGGTGTCAGTTGCTTTAGGGAGGATGTGACTTGCAAGAAGGTTCTGGAGGAAACCAGAAACAGGTACACAGCCTGGCCGGATGCCTCAGTGGTTGAGCGTCGACCCATGAACCAGGAGGTGAGGGTTCGATTCCCAGTCAGGGCACAGGCCCGGGTTGCAAGCTCGATCCCCAGTGTGGGGCGTGCAGGAGGCAGCCGATCCATGATTCTCTCTCATCACTGATGTTTCTCTTTCTCCCTCTCCTTCCTCTCTGAAATCCATAAAAACATTTTTTAAACTTGATAAAGCTTCAACAAAGTAAAATAGAAACAGATAACAGTGGTGGGCGGGGGCGCTGGGGACTTATCCTTGACCTTGACCTTCTCTTGCGCTAATCCCTCCGGCAGGACCCGTCTCAGAGACTCCACGTTCACGCGTCGTTTCCTTTCACAAATGCCACCTGTCAGCCCCGCGTCGCAGGAGGGTCCTGGCGAGCTCTGGTTGGGGCGGAAGACGGAAGACGTGGAGGCCGAGGCTGCCGTGTGAACGGCTCCTGGCTCCTCCCGGCAGCGCTGGCTGGGCTGGAAGCCGCCCCTGCCTGACAGGCCTCCCTCCGCGGCATCAGCTCCTCCTCACGGGAGGCTTGGGCTGAGGCGTGGCCCTCACATGCTGGGAGCTTTATTTTGCAACAAACATTTCTTTCTTTTTTTAAAAAATATATTTTTATTGATTTCAGAGAGGAATGGAGAGGGACAGACAGAAATGTCAATGACGAGAGAGAATCATTGATTAGCTGCCCCCTGCACACCCCCCACTGGGGATGGAGCCCACATCCTGGGCCTGTGCCCTGACCGGGAATCGAACTGTGACCTCCTGGTTCATAGGTCGACGCTCAACCCCTGAGCCACACCGGCCGGGCACAAGGGAGAACACTCTAGTCCCAGAGGAGAAGGGCCAAGACGCCCGCTCTCCGGCCAGGGCCGGGCACTGGCTGTGCGGCTGTGGCTCGATCAGCCTCGCACAAATCCCGTTCGATCGTTCCCCAGCAGGGTTAATAATCAATCACCAATGCCTGGGGTC